GGAAGAGATCGTTGCTCTTAAAAATATGGTGAATTTCTCTTCCTAATCTATATGCTTTAAGGGTACAGTTTCATTTGGCTCATCTGTATTATGATCTATAAACATACCCCAACTCACAAGAAAGCTTGAGCTGGGAAAAGAGTGGATAGCTGCCCTCACCAACTCTGACTGGCTCAAGCTCTCTAACCAACACATAATTTGTTCTTTGGCATGAGCGAAAGGAAAAGATGAGCCAGTAAAAGGAGTTGATATTAGATGGCATGCACCCATCTCAAATATGGGCTAGACAAAAGCTGTCCCGAGAGATCTGGACCTGAGTCCTCCCACCAGGCATGTAAAGTTTCATATCAGGGCCTAAACAAGGTATGTCAGGTGGCTTCATTAGAAATTCCTGGATTCCTCGCTGGCTATTTTATTGTCTGGGTTTCAATAACATGAGAAAATAGCCGTCATCCAAACACATTTGGGCTTAAAAAAACGAACTATTATCTGTTGTCTTAAAATTAAATAAAGCCCTGCTTTTTTAATCACAGCATATCCCTACCGTTTTTGAGTGTAAATATTAAGGAACATGTTTTGTTAATGATTAAAAAACAATAGTGATTGGTTAGGGGGCTCAGTGAACATTGAATCTGTCTTTACTCCAGTCATTGTGCGTGAAGCAACACACTGCCTAATGCCCCAGGATGGACAGTAGGTAACTATTTAATGGGGTTTTAATTTTGGGTTGTTATTAATAATAATTAATGTAATTTTGATTATGTTGGAAGCTGGAGGGATACTGTCAGTCATCCTTTCAGGGTGGTGGTATTGCCCTGCCCTGTTTAATCAGAGGTTCTCAGAGGAGGTAGGCTCAAAGTGATTTAAAATGAAAGAAGGTAGATGTTTAATAAAATTTCAATTAAGAAATTAAATCATACTCAAATTGAAAGGGGGACATGGAAATTGTCTGGCCTAATCCTTTCATTCTGCAAATGAGAAAAATGAGGCCCTTAGGAATTAAAGGACTTGCCCAAAACGATACAGCTTGTTTCTGTTGTTTGATGCATTATTGGGCTAAATGACCTCACAGGCCTAACTTGGAAAAGAGGGCAGGATGCTGTGGCCCTGCTCTCACAGTTGTTTATCTGATCTCATGTACTTCCTACCCGTCGTAATTCCTGTTTTCTAACTATCGAAGGTGTGTAACTGTAACGTTTGTCTAGAAAAGCTACTCTGGACCAATAGCTGTTTAAGTAAAGACCTAAATGCTTTGCTGTGACAGTGAAGTGCAATGTCTATGCCAGGAAAAGAAAACCAGGACAGGAAATGCTCAGTCCTCCAGCACTAGCCTGGTTACCTGGAGCTCAGGGCTGTGACCCTCAGCCCCACCCTGTGGCATTAGCTCAGGACTCCAGAGCAGAGGTTGTGATTTACTTTAGGGCTCTAGGCAAGTCCCTTGAACCTGGCTGTCCTTCCCCTTCCATGTTTGTAAAACAGGGAGATGATGCTGATCGCTCCCACACTGCTCCATCAGAGGCACTGTGTGAAATTAGCTCCTGTTTGTTTGGGAAGGGTTTTTAAAGCCACACATTCCACCTCCCTGCTAATATGATTACTAGCACTTTCTTGTAGGAAAGGGCCAACTCCTCATCCCCCTTCTTCCTTTCAAAAACAAACCAAAGGGTATCTTTTGTCTCCCTGTGGCCAAAAAGGTTGTTACTTCTGTAGTGGTTACCCCCTCGGAAGGTCAGTTTACTGAGGTGAAGGGTTCCTAGGTGCACCACAAACAACCAAACAAAACAATAATAACAGCAGAAATAACTGCTGTGGAGGTTCTTAGAGGGCTTCTGAGTTACAAACAGACCTTTCTAACTATAAAGGAACGTGGCCCCCAGTCAGTCTCCAAGCCATCTCCGTCCTTCACAGGGTTAGGCCTGGTGGACTGTTTATTGGGGCTGTCTTCCTGAGGGTCATCCCCACGGCTTTCCACAAGAAGCATTTAAAAAAAAAATGTTTTGGAAGGAAAGTCACCTTTTTAATAGCCAAAGAAGTACCTCTCTCTGGCACACAACTCTGTGCACAGCCTGTTTCTCAACCTTTGGAACTCCTTTAACAGTTTATGGAAGGCCACCCTTTAAACCAATCCAACAGCTCCTTTCTCCATAACCTGGTTTTAGAGGTGTTTCATTATCTCTAATTACTCGGGGTAAACGGTGATTACTCAATGTTTTAATCATCAGTTTGGGCAGCAGTTACTCTAAACTCAGGGAAGCCCAGACTCCCATGGGTATTTTTGGAAGGTACTGCGACTAGTCGGTGCATGCTTTCTAGTACCTACGCACGTGGTCCCCAGGTGAGTCCCGGCCGCTTCCCAGAGCTGAGGCAGCTGAGTCCCAGCCCCGGCGGTGGCGGTAGCTGCGGACTCCAGCGCTGCCCGGGCTTCCGGGACCCGGGCCTGCGAGGCGAGGCCCGGCTGCTGGAGGGGAGGATGTGGGCGGGGCTCCCATCCCAGAAAGGGAGGCCAGAGAGGGAGGAGGGAAGAAGGGAGGGGCTGCGGGGAAGAGGAGGAAGGAAAGAAAGAAAGACTGAGGGAAAGAGGAGGAAGGAGAAGATGCGAGAGGGCAGAGCAGGAGGGAGGGAGGGAAGGAGTGCGGAACCCGGCCCGGAAGCTAGGTGAGTGGCATCCCAGCCCAGGGACGGGAGCCTTAGACGCCGCTGCTGCTCCGCGCACTGTATTTCGCTTCTCTCCCTCATGGGATTCCCGTCGAGCCTGCAGCACCCCAGTCCTCGGCCCTCGCCTAAGTTCACTGCAGCCGTTCAGAGGTCCCCAGAAGCTGCTGCTGGCGAGCCCGCTACTGCAGGGATCTATGGTGAGCAAGGCTGCCTGGCGAGGGGCGCCGGATAGAGGGGGCCGAGGCGCATCCTTGGGGTGGGGGGTGCGGAGGAGGAAGCTCGGGACCCTGGCTGTAGCCGCGGCAAAAGGTGCCCCCCCCCCCCCAGGTTGTGCTATAAGTAGGGATGCTGGCACTGAAAGACACTACTCCTCTGCCCTGGCCACTGTCTCCGTTCGGCGGCCCCGGGCTATTTTCACCTGAGTAGGTTTGGGGACGGAGAGAAGCCTTTAGCTGGGGGTCGTTGGGGGGAGGGTGAGGGGGGGCGCTGCGAGGTCTGGAGGGGATAGCGAACATCAGTCTACCCGCAACGGGAAGGGCCAGGAGAGAAAGGAGTGTCGGCTCTGAAGTCAGGAGAGAGCGAGGGGACGGCCAGGTGCAGGGAGAATACCTGACTGGGGTGGTTCTGCGTGCGGAGGGCAGCTCTTCTGCCTCCGGAGCGTGCGCGCCTCGCGAGGGGCTGCGCAGAGGGGAGTGTCACCCGCCGCGGCCCCCCGCCCGCGGGAGCCCGGGAGAGCTGGCGACCTGCGGCGGCAAGGCGCACCTCCGCCACGAGCTATTTTCGTGGGCTCGCAGCACCCCAGGAGCCGCGCCACTCTCGTTTCATCGTGTAGGGTCTCCGTGGCCAGGATGCCAGGCGCTCGGGGACGAGCCTCCCGGTGTAGCCGTGTGCTAGAGGGAGTCGCGGGCGAGCTGCACGGCTGACGCGCGGCTCCTCATGGTTCTCCCCGCGCGGAGCCCACAGGAACGGGTCCCCGGAATCTCCAGTCCCTGCGGACCCTCCCGGCCGGAGTTGGGCCTGCGGCCTCGTGGGCACTTCTTATGTGCATGGTTTGTGGGCTCAAGGCTTTGGGAGACGTGAAAAAGCCCCAAAGTCAGGGAGTTGGTAAACTGAGGTGACGTCGGAACTGGTGCTGGGAGAAGACTCAAGCAGGGAAGTAAAGGACAGTCGCCTTGAGTTGCACACCCCGCCCGCCCCCCCAAGAAAAAGTTCAGAAGATGAAAGTTCCTTTCGGCTTTTATCTTTTTTAATTAAAAATTTGGGGGGAGTTGAGGGGGAGGACGCGATTAAAGATGAATCTCACTGAACCCGAAATTGAAATACAACCAGCCTTTGCGTTTTAGCGCCCGGTGCGCTCCCGCAGCCACCCTGGGATTGTCCGGGGACTCCGGGCGCCGGCCCCTTCCACTGTCCCTTCGCCCCTCAGGGACCGGCCCCTCTCCGTCTGCTTTTCCTATTTCTGGAACTCCTCCCACAGGGCTTTTTTAGGGTTCCTGGCGTCGAGAAGAGAGAGAGAGAGAGAGAGAGAGAGAGAGAGAGAGAGAGAGAGAGAGAGAAAGGAAGAAAAAAAGAAAGAAAGGAAAGAAGGAAAGAAAGGAAAAGAAAAGGAAAAACCTCTTTGCCCTCCCCAACCCTTTTGCCGTCAGCCCCGGTGGCGCGGCAGCGGGAAGACCTAAAGCGGCTCAAGCAGCAGCGCGGCTCTTTCCTGGCGGGGACTGTCGCGCAGGGGCGCCCGTGGCCTCCGCACCCCGGCCCTCCGCGTCGGGCGGCGCCGGGCAGCCGCGGCCCGGAGGGAGGGCTAAGCGCTTGGTTTTTCACTCCTCTTCCTCAAAGGCTACCCTGGAGTGCCCCCAAGAAGAAACCCCAGTTCGTGGGGGAAAGTAAGGCGGGCAACCTGAGCCCTCGGTCTCTGCAGCGACCGAACTCTGGAGGGACTCTGGAGGGCGAGGGGAGCGGCTCGGGACCCGGAGCGGGCCCACGCTGACGCAGACTTGCGCGGGCCAGGTTTTCGAACAGGCCCCTGCGCTGAGAGACCCACGCGCGCAGCATCTTCAGTTAGTTAGGACATCCCAGCAATTCCTTGAGCTGTGGGTTGGTGAATTCCTCAAGAAATATTTGCTGCGACTGTGCAGCTGGTGCAAAGGAGGAAGGGGGTGGGGGAAGGAAGTGGCGGGGGGGTGGCGGGGGTGGCCGGGGGGAGGAGTGGTGGTTTAAAAAATCAGGCTGGCTGCAGAGAGAGATGCAGACACAGAGGTCGAGCGCAGGCCGAAAGCTGTTCACGGCTTTCTCGACTCCTGGGAACTTGGTGGGATTTCCTTTCTGCGTCGGGTCGGGAGTTGTAAAACCTCGGCGACATTAAGACCCGAAACTGGGGATGCGCCCTCTCCCCGCCGCGACGCCTCCATCGGAGTCCGCCTCCGCCCAGAAGGGCAAGGCCGACCGCTTTCTTTGGGGATTTACTCTTTGCTCTGGGGGACGCGGTGCGGAGAGTCTCCCCGTAAAGGAACTCGAGAAAATAGCTTAGCGGCGGCTCCCTCCCCACTTTCCCACGTCGATCGCCGTCAGCCACCTCCTCCCTCCGCCCCGTGCGTGACTTGGTCAGCAGCTTTTGGCTGGGAGCTCAAAAGGCTGCCCGGTTTGTCTGAGCACGGGCAGGCGTTCGCCAGGAGGTGACTGGCTGTCGCCGGGAGCAATATTTGGCCTCGCAGATACTCCGGGGAGGCAGTGGCGGGGGACGCGCGCACGTCCGCGGGTCCCTGGGCGCTTTCTTTAAGTGCCCGTTGGCGGTGAGGCTTTGAGAGGCTGAGACTCCGCCGTCCCCGTTCCCGGCCCCACTGGAGCCGGGTTCTTGCCGAAGAGGCGCAGCCCCTATAGTGCGCCCCGGATCCTCCGGCTTCAGGCCGCTTGGCGCTCGGGCCCGGGGGGACGCCCCGCACGCCGCCGCCGAGAGAGGCGAGGCCCGCGTCCTCCGCGCGCGGAGCTGGGGTACCTGCGGAGGGCTCCGCGGACCGCAGCCCGAGCTCCTCCCGGACCGCGGGAAGCTGGAGCTGGAGGCTGGGAGGTTGGCCTCCGCAGAGGGGGCGGGGCCGCGGTGGGGTTTGTGGGCCCTTTCGCCGCCCGCCGCGGGGAGGGCGGGCTCCTCCAGGCGCGGGGCGGGGCCTCGACGCTCACGTGACTCGGAGGGGCTGGAAGAAAAACCGAGCCAGTCTGCGCCAGAGTCTCATTATATTCAAATATTCATTTTAGGAGCCATTCCGTAGTGCCATCCAGAGCAACGCGCTGCAGCACCTCCTCTGAGCCTTTCCAGCAAGTTTGTTCCAGATTGGCTGTCAAGAATCATGGACTGTTATTATATGCCTTGTTTTCTGTCAGTGAGTAGACACCTCTTCCTTCCCTTCCCGGGAATCATTCTGCCCTCTCCACCCCTGCTCGCCTCGGGTCCCTCCCGTCGGACCTTCCTCCCAGAGCCCACACTCCGCTTTCTAGCAGCGCTGTCGCCTCCGTCTCGGCCAGGCAGCCGCGGCGCGCAGGACGTACGGGCTCTGTGCAAAGTGCTGCTTGCTCCCACTCGCACTCTCAGTTCGGGTGCGTTGCAAGAAAGCGGAGCGAGAGGGGGCTAAAGAGATGCAAGTCCGCATCGCGGGGTTGTACCTTATGGGATAATCAGCCCCCCTTCCCACTTGCCGGGGGGGGGGGGTGAGGGGGGAGCAGTGCCCGATGCCCCCGTGTTGCGTTCCCAGCTGCTTGTCAAAATTCTGAGGTCGCTCCTGGGATCAACCCCCCTCCCCCGCCGCCCCTTCCCGGGGAGTAAGCGAGCGGGTACGCTCCGATGCTTTTTTGCTGGGCATTTCAAACTCATCAGCCAGAGTAAAATAAACCTTCAAGCCACTTTGTCAGCTCCCAGACCACGTTCTCGGCCTCGGTCTCTGGACCCCGCGGTCCTGTGTCTTTACCCTGCCCCTGCGTCCCTGCTTTCCCTCCCTCCTGCTCGGAACCAGCTGGAAGTTGTGGAAGTTGGGCTGGGAGGGCGGAGGAAGGAGGTGGGGGTGGAGGAACGAGGGGGAGAGGCTGAAGGTCTGAAGTGGAGAGCGATGGCATTTTAATTCTCCCTCGCCCACCCTTTTTTACCCCCTCAACGTTAACTGTTTATCCTTGAAGAAGCCAAGCTGAGATCATGGCTCAGATAGCAGTTGGGACAAAAAAAGATTAACAGGATGGAGGCTATCTGATTTGGGGTTATTTGACTGTAAACAAGTTAGACCGAGTAATTACAGGGCAATTCCTACTTTCGGGCCTTGCATGGCTGCAGCTGGTGATGGAGGGGGGTGTGTGAGGGAGAAGACACAAACTTGATCTTTCTGACCTGCTTTCCATCTTGACCCTCTATCTCTCGCCCTACATGCCTATGCGGAGACATCTCTATTTCTCTCTAGTTATTGGTGTTTATTTATTCTTTAACCTTCCACCTCCTCCCCCTCCCCAGAGACACCATGATTCCTGGTAACCGAATGCTGATGGTCGTTTTATTATGCCAAGTCCTGCTAGGAGGCGCGAGCCATGCTAGTTTGATACCTGAGACGGGGAAGAAAAAAGTCGCCGAGATTCAGAGCCACGCGGGAGGACGCCGCTCAGGGCAGAGCCATGAGCTCCTGCGGGACTTCGAGGCTACACTTCTGCAGATGTTCGGGCTGCGCCGCCGCCCGCAGCCTAGCAAAAGCGCCGTCATCCCGGAATACATGCGGGATCTTTACCGGCTCCAGTCTGGGGAGGAGGAGGAGGAAGAGCAGATCCACAGCATCGCTCTGGAGTACCCTGAGCGCCCCGCTAGTCGGGCCAACACCGTGAGGAGCTTCCACCACGAAGGTCAGTCCCTGCCCGGAGTCTGGGCGGGGGAGGGCCGGTAGGGTTGGCTGGTGGGGCAGTGGAAGCCCTCGGGGAGAAAGGTTCAGGTTACATCAAAGCCCCCAATCCCGGAGGCTGGGGAATGGAGCTGCCTACCTCCAAGAATTTCCAGGGCTGTGGCTAAATTTATTTTTCGGAGACAGAGGGGAGGGGCCGAGGTTAGGGGGAATGACACCACTCAGACGTGGGCTAGCCTCAGAGGTGTGTTTTTGCTATATCAAAGCCTTTTCTGCCAGGTTTTGTGCCCGTTTTCTTCTTCTTTTTTCAAAGCACCTACTGAATTTAATGTTACAGCTGTGTGTTTGTCAGGTTTATTCAATAGGGGCCTTGTAATCTGATCTGAATGTTTCCTAGCGGATGTTTCTTTTCCAAAGTAAATCTGAGTTATTAATCCACCAGCATCATTACTGTGTTGGAATTTATTTTCCCCTCTGTAACATGATCAACAAGGCATGCTCTGTGTTTCCAGGATCGCTGGGGAAATGTTTAGTAACATACTCGAAAATGGAAGAAGAGGGAGAGGGTGGTTGTGGGCATGTTTCCTCCTGCCTCTGCTCTGTTGGCCCCTCTTTTTCTTTACAGCCACTTGTAAAGAAAACCGTGTACACAAAGCCAAGAGGGCTTTAAAAGGGGAGTCTTGATGGTGGTGGAGTAAGGAGTTGACACATGGAAATTATTAGACATATAAAGGAGGCTGAGAGATACTTTGTCTTTGGTGCTTGCCGAATGCTGGCTATGTCTCTCCGAGTTTGCTAGCTTGCCCCATTGGTCTGTTTCTTTAAATTAAAAGATATACTTACTTCCCCCAAATAGGCTTCCACCATATAAGCAGAATTCACCACTCATCACCCAACCCTTAACTATTTCTTGACTTTTCAGTCCCTCAGACAGTTCATGTGTTCTTTTTTTTTTGCTTTTTTTCTTTTTCTTTCCCTTCCCAATTGTGCCTAGAACATCTGGAGAACATCCCAGGGACCAGCGAAAACTCTGCTTTTCGTTTCCTCTTTAACCTCAGCAGCATCCCAGAGAATGAGGTGATCTCGTCCGCAGAACTTCGACTTTTCCGGGAGCAGGTGGACCAGGGCCCTGATTGGGAGCAGGGCTTCCACAGAATAAATATTTATGAGGTTATGAAGCCCCCGGCAGAACTGGTGTCTGGGCACCTCATCACACGACTACTGGACACGAGACTGGTCCACCACAATGTGACACGGTGGGAAACTTTTGATGTGAGCCCTGCAGTCCTTCGCTGGACCCAGGAGAAGCAGCCAAACTATGGGCTGGCCATTGAGGTGACTCACCTCCATCAGACACGGACCCACCAGGGCCAGCACGTCAGGATTAGCCGATCGTTACCTCAAGGGAGTGGGGATTGGGCCCAGCTCCGGCCACTCCTGGTCACCTTTGGCCATGATGGCCGGGGACATGTCTTGACCCGACGGAGGAGGGCCAAGCGTAGCCCCAAGCATCACCCACAGCGGGCCCGAAAGAAGAGTAAGAACTGCCGACGCCACTCGCTCTATGTGGACTTCAGTGATGTGGGCTGGAATGACTGGATTGTGGCCCCACCAGGCTACCAGGCCTTCTACTGCCATGGGGACTGCCCCTTTCCACTGGCTGACCACCTCAACTCAACCAACCACGCCATTGTGCAGACCCTGGTCAACTCTGTCAATTCCAGTATCCCCAAAGCCTGTTGTGTTCCCACTGAACTGAGTGCCATCTCCATGCTGTACCTGGATGAGTATGACAAGGTGGTACTGAAAAATTATCAGGAGATGGTAGTAGAGGGATGTGGGTGCCGCTGAGATCAGCAGTCCTTGGACACACACACACACACACACACACACACACACACACTACCATCCACTCACCCACACCCTACACAGACTGCTTCCTTATAGCTGGACTTTTATCTTAAAAAAAAAAAAAAAAAAAAGGAAAAAAACCTAAACATTCACCTTGACCTTATTTATGACTTTATGTGCAAATGTTTTGACAATATTGATCATATATTTTGACAAAATATATTTATAACTACATATTAAAAAGAAAAAATAAAATGAGTCATTATTTTAAAGGTAAACTATGTTCTTTTCTCTGGAATCCTTTCTCTTTTCTTCCTGCCCATCGCTTTTGAGTGAGAATTTTTTTTTCCTATTGAAGTAGAGCTAGAAGCAGGTGGTAACTGGAGGTGGTTAGGTTCTAGCGACAGGAAGTAAATGAATGGTAGAGAGATGGTAATTGCCAGGATGAATTGTTTTCCATTTCTATTTAATGTTAACAAGGACACAGCATCCTCTCCCATCTGGATGACACATGACTTAGAAAAATAGTGGGATAAAAGGAGTAGGCCAGATTAAAGACTCAGTTTTGGGCTCCTTGTACCACTTCTGGATTTGCTCACCTGTTAGAGGTGCGTCCCAGCTGAGTGTGATGGGTAAGAATCTCAACTCTTGGGAAGTGATTCCCACCTCTGCTTTTATGATACCCCAGGGTGTCTCCAGTTATTATAGGCCTCAGTGTTGTGTATTTCAATCCAAAAGTAATTTGCACACACATATTAACAAATGTATATATGTGTGTGTTTTTAACAGGTTGTTGGGTGGTGGGGTTTTTTTCTTTGAGAAGTGGGTTTTAGCCAATAAAATAAGTGATGTGCCTTACCTTCAAAAAATTTGGTGACCACTATTTTAATATACCACATGGTGGAACTCTCTAGTGTTTTCGGACTTGTTTCCTTATTTCCCATTCCAGCTGGGTGGGGGTTGGCAATAGGGTCAGGCACGGAAGGGTCAGAATTTCTAAGTAGGCACTGTAAAAGTTCCACTATATGGATTCTCTAGAGTCAAATGCCAAATCTCCTTGTCTCTCTGTGCTGCCTGTCCCCTTCTCTGGAACTGGGCAGAAAGTGATACACTTGGATGTGCTGTTCTGAGCCAGGGTTTCTTCAAGGAGAAAGACTCAAATATTGGCCAAAGGAAAATGCTAATGTGCTTGAGCAGTCTCTGAGTTAAGGGCTGCCAGCAAGGCAGAGAAATGGCTTTCTGAAATGACATGCCTATAGTCTATAGTGGCTAAGAGGACCAGACGAGAGGCCTTTGCTGTGTCTTACTTGCCACCAGCAAGTAAATTAAGCCCTGGAATTTTAGCCTGCTTAGGCTCATTTCTTATGTGTGCTTTTTTTTGGTTTTTTTTCTGCAAAGACTTGGATGAGTTGAAAAGCAGTGTCTTTGCACAGTCTGTGTGGGGTGGGCTGATAGAAGTGAAGGTTGAGTGGGGTGGAGGTGCTGTGTGTGCACCCCCTGCATTCATGTACACACACTCTTCCCTATGTTCTCGGGGACGGGGTGGCTGAAGCAGGATTCATTTTTGTTTTTAATTACTGAAGTCCTACAATCCTCCAAAGGAGCAGCTTAGTGGAAACCAATAAAAATAGAAGTAGAGCGGTTGCCAAAGCCCCAGCTCCCCGGAGAGCGCAGGTGGAGAGAGGAGATCAGAGCCCCAGGCAAAAAGGCAGCAAGACTCCACAGTTCCTCCAAAACTCCCTGCAAAGAGAGATACTCCCCCCTCCAACAGCCCCCCAGGTCGCTGCCCCTTTGATTAATGGTATGGAGGTCGAATAAATCTTTTAGGGGAAGCCCATTATGGGTTTCCCTCAGGCGGCCTCGTTTTGTTTTGCCCCATTTCCAGCAACTTTCTGAAATGTCCGTGTCGTTGCAAAGGAACCCGAAGATCTCTAGCACTTGGACAAATCATCCGAGGGCGAGTCCTGAGCCCGGTGGCTGCCTGGCTCAGGTCACTTTCTAGCAACCACGCTCCCCCCGCCCCCCCCCCCACGCTCCCCCTCCTTCTACTGGCTTATTTTCAGGAATGGATAATGTTGTTTATTTGTTCAGCCAAATATTTGGTCTGGGGAATTTACCGTGAAATTCTGTGAATTGCATATACCTAGTTAACAAAATAGTCCTAATGCCACAGTGTTAGCATGAAAAACAAGGAGCTATGGCCAGCGTTAACCCTTTAAATTCTGTTTGAGGGCATAGCCCTGACAACCGGGGAGATGAGGAATGGAATATGGGTAGAGATGATTTAATTTAGGTTTCGGTCTTCTCGGCATTGCTTTTGGATCAAGCCTGCCATGCCCCCCTTCTTCTCTTTATCTCCCCGCCCCCCCTCCCCCCCCCCCCCCCCCAGAGTAAAGTTCCCATCCAAGAAAGATGAGGAGGAAGAATCGCTCTTGCTGGGTCGATCCCTGCCCAACCCTTAAACTGGACCGGGCTTCCTGGGAGCTTCAGGAAAAAACGTTGGGGGTGGAGGGTGGAACGCATCACGTAGTCCCCGGTTGCATAATTGGCTCAGAACCTGCCAGGTGACCTGCTGACTTTGTTTTCTGTCTGGACGGTGCTCTGCTCCCCCACCCCCTTGCCGCCGGGCAGCGCCACACGGTCAGGGCTCAGGGCAGCGGCGGGCCCCCAATCACCCCGCCTGGGACCAGCGTCACCGCCCGGCTACAGGCTCCGCCCCCGCCCGCCCCTGGAGCTCCGGGGCTCGGTGGCCGCGGGGGCGCCAGGGGGCGTCCTCCCCGCCGGCCATTAGACGGTACACCTGGCGGTCGCGCGGGAGCGGGCGGACTCCCCTCAGCCCCCTCCCCAGCCTAATTGCAGATTTCAGGTCCCCCCGCCTGAGCTGACCACCTTCCCGGGGGAGAGCCGGCTCAGGTGCAGCTTTGCAAAGACACACGGGTCTGATGAGCGCACCCGGGTCCTAAGGGCGGCTGCCCGGCGCATTGAAGGTGAAATGGGGTCTAGTGGCTGCGCAGAGCCGTGGAATCTGGGGAGCAGGCTTATCGGGTGAAAGAGGACTCGATATCTTTAGGGATTTTCTGTTGGGGAGGCGGAAAGCAGGAATGAGGGAGCGAGGCCCTCCTTGCATAGAGCTCACAGTGGGACCGCATCTTGGAGTGACCTATTGGGGACTTAGCGCGTGGGGAACAGACCCATTGACACGCCCCATGAGCCGAGGTCTCAGCCTCCTCCTGGACGCCCCGAGGCCCGGGCTTGGGCTGAGCTGCCACCGCTACCTTCCTCCAACCTTTGCGGGGCGGGGCACAGAAGAGGTGTGCTTGAGTGGAGTTGGCTGATTTCTTTCAGAAGTGAGGTGCCATGCCAAGCCCATCATTTCTTGACAGCACCTCAGCTGACCTCCTCTGGGTCTGTGGCCCAAGGACTCCCAGTGCCTGCACCCTCCACCTGCCACCTAAAGCCCGGCTCGGAACTGGGAGCCCTAAGATGAATCGAGTCGGATAAAGCTGAGGCCCCAGTCTCCAAACTACCCTGTGCTTCCACACAAACCTATTTCTCTTTCTCTCTCTCTCTCTCTCTCTCTCTCTCTCTCTCTCTCTCTCTCTCTCTCTCTCTCTCTCTTTCTCTCTCTCTCCCTCCCTCCACCTTGTTGGCCTTCCATTGCCTGAGAATCAGAAAGTGATCATGATTCCCTGGAGGAATGCAGGATAATTGGTGGACTGGCAAGTTAGAGTTGATGCAGGATTCTTCCGGTGGCCATTTGAGATAAACTAGTACAAGTCTGAAAGCTTAACTGGAAATGAATTTGGAGCAGTTAGAAATGTGTTCCCTGTGGGATTGCCAGCGTCCCATTTCCCTATGCTTTCAACACTTAGTGGCAGAATAAATAAACGGTTCAAAACTGAGTGGTCATCAATGAAGAAAAGTGCCTGGTTTTAGGGGAAATTTTGGATTGCCCTAACATTTTAATTTTTTTTTAAAAAAGCCACCAGAACATTTGGAAAATAAATAAAAAATTCAAGGTGTGCCACGTTTAGTCAATCCTAGAAAAAGAAATCAGAGTATTTCTTCCCTGAGGAAGCCATTTGAATGACCATTCCTAAGTCACTTTACTTACGATATTAACTGAAGCAAGTTCCAGTTGTCTCTGCTGTTTTCCTCTCTCTTCTAAATATCCTCTAAAAACTCTGAATGAAAATATAAATGCTGTGAAGTTGTTCAGAACAAACTATTCAGAAAATATAATACTATAGGACTCGGAAATGTTTACTTCAAAAATGTGAAATTTGAGGAAAAGAAGACAAGATGAAACAATAATTTGCTGAGTTTTGTTACTAATGAGAATTTCTGAAGTCTAGCTTTCAGTTGGTTTTGCTACATTTTCTGAAGAAAAGATCTGATCGATCTCTCTTGCTTTTTTTATAACTTGAATCCTAACAAAAATATTTAAAACAATTTGCCCCTCCAGTCCAGGTGCAAGTAGAGTCTAGCTTTGCAGTTTTATTGTCATCACACACACACACACACACACACACACATACACACACACTAGTGGCCTGGTTCACGGATTTGTGCACATTGAAAGGAAATTAATTAGAAGAAGTATTTTAATATCCCTATTCACCCTTTCTCTATAATAGAACTGTCAACCAAATTCATGATCAACAATGACAGATGGAAACACATGTGTAAGACTGGCACCAGTGAGAGCTTTATATATCTATAGACCTCCTTTCTTTCTTTCTTTTTTTTTTTTTAATATTTGGAAGTCATATATCTAATAAAGAACTGATATCCAAAATACAAAAAGAACTCTCACATATCTGCAATAACATGACAAACAACCAAATTAAATAGTGGGTGAAAGACTTCTGGTTTCAGTTCCAACATGCAAATGCTGGGGTCCAGCCCCAGCGGGTCCAGGGGTTCCCCAAAGGTGTGGACAGAGTCGGCGAAGAAGGAATGACACGGAGACAGCGTTCAGTTGATCAGCAGCCTAGCCAGGATCTCTAGCCAAGTTCTGGTCAGGATCTCCAGCAAAGTTCTGGTTAGGATCTCCAGCCAGGTTCTGTGTCCATGTTCTCTTGCTAGGTTCTCCAGCCAGGTTCTCCAGGTTCTCCAGCCAGGTTCTGTAGCCATGTTCCCTCGCTAGGTTCTCCAGCCAGGTTCT